AATTCGCTCGTAAAATCTGTGAACTTTTAAAAAGACTTTTCGTTTTTCCTCAATAACTCCCGAACGGATGGACGTAGGGGGGCGTATTTAGACTCATTTTGTAGGGGACGACAAGATCTACAATTTCTGTGCAAAAAGAATTCGCTAGTGCCAATAGTTAACGAGTTATTTGCAAAAAACTGTTTTTCTGTTTTTTGCCAATAACTTCCAAACGGATGGACTTAGGGAGACGTTTATGGGTCCATTTTGTAGAGGACGACGTGATCTACAATCTCTATATAACAGTTTCTCGCTAGCATCAGTAGTTTACGAGTAATTTGCAAAAAACTGTTTTCCGTTTTTTGCAAATAACTCGGTAACTATTGGCACTAGCGAATTCTTTTTGCACAGAAGTTGTAGATCTCGTCGTCCCCTACAAAAGGGTTCTAAATACGCCCCCCTACGTCCATCCGTTCGGGAGTTATTGAGGAAAAACGAAATTTTTTGTCAAAAAGGAAAATGCTTGGCTCCAATATTGCTGCACCAGAGAGAGAATCGGGTTCGCAGCCGTGAACGCTAGATGGCGCCACGATGAACTTTAAATTCATCGGAGCCAAACACTTTCGCGGCCATGAACGCTAGATCGCGCCACGAGCAACCCCAAAATCATTTTAACCTACGTTTTAAAATGTTAATTGTCCTAATAATTAATTAAATAATAAGTAAATGATACAATGAACGAATAACGTTCCCTTAAATACTATTTTCCAAACCCGTGAAGGGATCTTAATGAATCTTGAGAGGCATTTAAATAAATCCTTGTTAAACACGTCTCTCAAGTTTCGTGCAATTCCTATCAGTAGAAACGACGTTTTTTAGTTTTACAGCTTCGTACTTATGACATATGACCCTGCAGGTCACTGACAGGTGTCAAAGTGTCAATGCTCGTTTTTCACGAGCCACGCGGAGTGGGTAGACCGCGAATATGTATTAGTGAAATACCGAACTGAAACTCTGCGTATATTTGTTTTATTTCAATAATATATAATAATGGCATGCCATCAAAGTTATACGCCGAATTATTTCGCCATCAACGATATTCTATCAACGGAAGAACCGATCAAGTGCACGATCGAAGTGGAACTGCCAGGACTAGGCAAGTTTCCTAGCAGTTTTGATAACCTCTTTCTAGGTTAGGCTACGTATTTAAAAGATTTAAATATCTTATTACCTCTTAAGGTTTCTTGGATTCCTCTTCACAGTCGAATGATCTGAAAGTGGGATCAAAATTGGATTTGCCACTGTGGCTCGCAGAGCCATTGAAAAAAATGCAAAACTCCGTGGTCAGTGTTGACATACCAAAGATATACAAGGAGGTGTACAGGTGCGATCATTCGTCGTAATCATTCAATCCTTATACAATATTTAATTACACTGTAAACAATGTAATTAAACATTGATCATTTGATGTAACATTTTCTATATAGATCTCTCGTATTTATAATTTATATTTACTTCATGCTTAATTAAATCAAGCTGTAATTATTCTATATAAATTTTATAATTATTTTATTCACAATTACAGCTTGATAGAGTTTACTCAATATTTTATAAGTTCTACTGTACAATATCGTATCTATTCTTTTGTTAACTAACACGTCTTTCATTAACTTTTATATTAACAGAGAAATTTTAGAGGCAGACGCAGATGCTATAGTTCTAAGTAGTTGGAATCCGTTCTACTACGAATTAGGAATGCACGTAAGAAGACTGAGCGATAACGACGTTGATCAAATCACAGACTGCTTGTTACAGGTAAATTATACAATACGATAAATAATATAGAACTTATTCAAATACAAGAAATCCCGATTTAGATCATGTTTTCTAAACACTAATCACAATTATTTTAATTTACATAAAAACCCAGTCTATCGATGATCGTTACAAACTATTTTCCAGACGTTCAAAGCCCGTCTGCGGATAATCATGGACTGGGCCCAGAATCCAGTGTCCGACGTTTCCTTAGGTCAAGAACTTCCTCGGCTGGAAAGGGATTTGTTCCTCAGTGGTCGAAGAGCCAAAATCCGACTGCTCGAGTGGCTGAAAATGGGAACCGGTAACATCCTACCTTCAGAAATCTCGACGAATTTAAAGAAGCGCAAGCGTATAAATTACATGATAGCGTAGCGATTTCTATTTTATAACGAAACTCTGTTATTTTTATAATATCCAACGTACAATAAAATATTTTTACAATACGAACGTACAAATCGAAGAATAATGGATAATTGTTTTATATCATCGATGAGCATGAATGTGATTATTTTACTATGAGAGAACGATGTACTATATTTTATACAAATCCTTACAAATGAAATAAATAGAAATTTTTTAAAAGAATCTCGTGTATCATTCGCGAGAGACACCTGACTCCATTATTCATCCAGATTTCTCAATTACAATTTATTCAACGAGAACACATTTATACACATATTTATATATACGTTATTAAACGTAGTCGGTAAAAAAATAAATACAAAAATTATGCGGAAACGAGTTAAGCATCTTTCATTTTAACCAGTTTCCTTGTTTATTGACGATAATATGCTAGGCATTATCGCTATAATTAATTTACAGTTTGCATGAATCACACGCAGACATATATTACATGAGAGAACTACATGTACTTTATACGTATATTGTATTTCGCTTTAAGATTAATGTTATTTATTAATTAATTACATTTACTGCTTTCTCAGCCGGCCGTAATTAAACGTAAGTGACGATCTAACAGGAGTCTCGATGCACATTTGGAATCGACGTTCCATTATAAATAAAATCACCGTGTAAATCGAGTGAATTTTTAAAACTCGTTTTAAAATAGGGAAGAATTTTTAATTGCGTTTAAACGAATCGCATTCCAAACGTGCAGGACAGATAACAAGACGGACGAGTGGTCCTTTGCTAAAACGAACTTGCATTGCAATGGCGTGATCCTCTTTACTCAATTCTATTACAATCAACAGAGGTGTTCATCTAATTCTAATCGTTTTTGATTGATTACGTTAAATGGAATGTCGTCTATTTTCGTTGTTAATTTTAAATCTAACAGATTTCAAAATAATAAAAAGAATAGATAGATTAAATGTTAAGCACGATTCATTATGCGAATCGTTAATTCTTATGTCCATGTTTCAAAAGATGAAATTTTCATCGACTC